CTGAGGGGAGAGGAATAGCGTGGGACACACCTGACGTGGCAGGACCAGGGGGGGGCGGGTGTATTGGAGGAGGGGGGGAAGCGGAAGACCTCGACAGGGGTAGCGGGCGTAGTACGACACAGACTTATCAAAGCAAACGTCACGGGAGTCGAGGAACCGGTGGAGGGACAGGTGGCAAAACTCGAAGTCAGAGGAGTCCACCGGAAAACCAAGGAAGACACAAGGGAGGGCGCGAGCTGAGAGCTTGTCCGCAGAGGTGTTGCGGAAAAGTGCAAGGCAGCCTCACACACGAAACTCCAACGCAACACTAGGAGACCCGGTCCAAAGACTGGTCAGTGAAGCCTCTGGTCGTGAGACACGAGGCTAGAGGTTCAGCTGGTGGGCGGCGTAGCGAATCGCGTAGGGCCACAGAAAGTGGAGCGCACGGGCGTGGATCATGGAGGTGCGGGCGATCTCCATGACCAAGCCTATACGGCACTCAGCAACCCCATTCTGCTGTGGGGACTCTGGAAGCGTCCAGGACTAGGTGATGCCCTGCTCGCTACAGAATCCGCGAAGTCACGTCGGACTTCTTCGCCATGGGGAACACCGTGGTGTAGCGGGAGTAGTCGTCAACAACCACCAGAAAGAAGCTCTCCCCCTCGGGCCCAGGGCGAGGGGCGGGACCCCAGACGTCCAAGTGGAGTGTCTGGAAGGGCGCGGTGGCTGGTAAAAGGGAGGAGGAGTTAGGGGTGGCGCACAGCCGACCCTCGATGCAAGGAGTGCACGGCTGCACAGGCGAAAGAGGGAGCAACGCAAAGACGCGCAGGAGACCGGAGACAAGACGCTGACTAGACATGCTTCGAAGGCGTGGGAGGGACGGGAGACCAAAGCGGTGGTGCCACATGAATGTCGGGTGGGTGAACGACCGACAGGAGCATGACACAACAACCTGACCTGACCAGACGGAGCTACCTAGGGAGACTCAGTGTGCAGTGTGAAGAGACCGGAGTGGGGCTCCCGGCGAAACGTAGGTGTTCCACGCAGGTCCCAACACGCTCAGACGCAGGAAACCAGACGCCGATGTAACGGTACTGAAGGTGTCCAACACCCACCAAGTTCCTGGAGAACGAATGGATGTGGAGACCAGTGAGGACACCAGAAGGGACAGCCGGGCACGGGAGGGTGGTAGATTTGCGTGCAACTGCTGGTCCTTAAGCAGGATCAGCCAGTGCAACCGGAACCGGAGCAGCAAGCGGTGTGAGAGTCGTGTGGTCGCGGAAGAAGCACTGAGACGCGCCAGAGTCCAGAGTGAAAGAGAGTGACGTGTCAGCCATAAGTGCACCTGGGCTAGTAGCTACAAAAGAACCTAGACTATAAGCACAAGAATCTACACTAGCAACAGGCAAAGATAGGCAAAGATACCGCATACATGTCCCACAAAGCAAGACCACGAGAGAGAGCAAGTGGGGCCCAGTCCGAAGAGGGGCCAAAGCCGTAGTGTGCGCAGACGCGGTCCGTGAGCAGTGCAAAGCACTGACCTGGAAGGTGAAAACGGTCACAGCGCTGACCCTAACGAGCGTCCATCTGAACCATGTACAAGCAGGGAGGCGAAGTGACACCGTGCGACGCCGAGCTGGGTGGACCACCGCCACGACCAGCGCTCTCTGGTCCACTAGGTCTCCACTGCTGAGGCTGGTGCTGCACTTGCCGCTGACCCTGCTGCTGCGGCTGTCCAAGCTGCTGCTGCCATCCCTGCTGTGGCTGCTGTTGTTGGGACTGCTGCTGCTGCTGTTAAGACTGCTGCTGCTGCTGTGCCATGTACCAAGTAGCCGCTCCAGCAACCCCTCCCGTCGGGCCCGCAGCCCCAGGACCACATCTATTGCCGGCTCCACCAGACGCTCTAGTATCCCTAGTACCTCCGCCACCCCCTCCACTACCACCACCGCCACCACCCTTCCCGCCTTTCTTAACTCCCTTGCCCCTGGGCCGCCCACCCGTGGTGGTCACAGCCGCATTCTCGTCAGAAGCAGATCGAGGCAAGAGAAGCAGTTAAGGTGGGGACTTATGGGACAGTACACCCCTCAAAGAGTGGGGGAACTACTAAGGTTCAGGATCCGTCACTTTGAGAACTTAGGACGAACTCATTTCTCAACTAAACGCAAATCCGCTCAGTACGATTATGCGCCTTAGGCTTAGATACCATCTCCAATTCGAATCGGTCGTCATGATGGTCTAGAGAGTGAGAACGACTTAGAAACGTCCAGCAGCTGCATGACTAGAATGGTGGAGGAAGTACAAGTATTGAGGGATAGAAAGTTGGAGTTGGGGACTCCAAGAGAACCATGAGAGGGAAGGGGTTCTCCAAGATCTAGGGATGGATGGTAGGAACCTTCCTAGCAGCAAGGATGCAACCGTCATCATGAGGTCCTTGAGGCGTCACATGCAAAATCCAATCTAGTTGGATTTTGCCTAGGTGTTGCAATATTTGCAACCCATGCTAGAAACTTCTAGCCATCCCAATCCAAGGTCAAAGTTGCATTCCTAACCACCCAAGCAAAGATCCCTTTATAGTCATGTCCCAGTAATCGCCCAATGTAGATAATATATCAAAATGAGATAGAATTCAAAAAACTTGGAAATCTTGTAACTTAGGCGATGTTGGTCGGAATAAGGTGATCTTGGTACCGTTGGAAAGCTCTGGATTTCTCCTGCATGATCAAGCATGTAGACTTGGAGAAAAACACAGAGATGGTAAAATCCAACAGCCATGCGTAATGACATATGCTCATGCAAATAATGCAAGCACAAATGGCACGAGCACTAGGTAGGACGTTAGGATGACATGCACTCAAACTGACGTGCATTCAATGAAATCCCCCTCAAACTAACGGACTGCATGCACACACACTCACAAGCATGCAAACACTCATGCACAGAAACACGCATGTACTTATGACACAGCTGCCCACACTAGTGCAATGCCATGCCACACATCTTGGCACACTTCCAATGTGCACTCTCAGGAAGTCTCTTGGTTAGAAAATCTGCCGCCTGCTTGCTAGCCTTCACATGATGAAGCTCAACAATCCCCTCCTTCACCATCTGCCTCACCAAGTGCCACTTAATCTTCATGTGCTTGTTCAGCCCACTCAGGGTAGGATTAGTGGCCATGCCAATAGCAGCCTCGCTGTCGGATAAAAGTGGTGTATGTCCTTCTTGTTCAGCTCCCATGTCCTCCAGCAGCTTCCTTAGGAGCACAATCTCCTCGATGGCATGGTTACATCGCCATGTACTCTGCCTCTCCCGAAGAATGAGCAATCTCACTCTGCTTCTTGGACCTCCAGCTCACTGGTCCACCTCCGACCATGCAGACAAAGCCACCAACAGATGACTGATCTTCCTCATCTGAGGCCCATGTAGCGTCGGTGAAGCACGACAGCTTCAAGGTTCCTAGCGTGATTCCATCTGCTCGAAACTGTTTCAGCTGGCCGCCAGCTGAAAACTGAACATTAGCAGATGCCGTCGATCCAACGTAACGCACCAAGCACTTTGCCACCTCCAACTGCTCCTCAGTGGGCCGCTGCACAACTCTAGCTAGCTGCCCCACTCCAAATGAAGCATCAGGTCGCGTATGCACAGCAGCATACATCACACTCCCAATGAGTGAATGGTACTCGTTCTGCTGCTCATCCTCAAGCACATCATCCCCCTCAGCTACCTTCTTCAGTTTGAAGCCTGCAGGGAACGGCGTCATCACAGTGCGACCCCCAGTCACACCATAGCGCTCCATCACACCAGAGATGTGGTGTGACTGATGCACCTTCAGCCACCTCCTCTCAACATCCCTCTCAATCGGCAGCCCCAAGTAGTAATGGACATCCCCCAGCATCTTGCACTTGATGTTGTCCATCAGCAGCTTCTGTGTCCTCTCAATCTGCTCCATGGAAGGTGAGATCAGCAGTATGTCGTCGACATACACCAGCAGCAAGAGCAGCTGCTCCCCCTCTTTAAGCAGAAACAAGCTTTGATCCGCTTGGGACGCCTTGAAGCCTCCACCCTGCAGCACCTCCTCCAGCTTCTCGTAACAGCACCTGGGCGCTTGCTTAAGGCCATAGATAGCCTTCTTGAGCTTGCACACCCGGCTGGTCCCATCCTCATAGCCGTCGGGCTGCGCCATGTAGATATCCTCCAGCAGCACTCCATTGAGGAATGCAGTGGTGATATCCATCTGCTTCACGTGCCATCCCTTCATAGCTGCACTAGCCAGCAAAGTCCTCAATGTCAGCAGGTGGGTGATAATGTCAGCAGTACGGTCAAACACTCCTAGGTCGGGAAACAAAAATGGCATAAAGAGGCAACAAAGAGAGGCAGATGAGGGAGTGGAATAACGGGTGTTAATCGTAGCGAACAAGTTCTTCGCATATCGAACCTGGGTGAAGTGAGCCTCCTCAGACTCAGGGAGAAGGCTGGCCAGTGCAAGAAGCCGCCGCGTCACGAGACTACCAGACTCACAGGGTTGTACGGGCCCTGTCAAAGCACTCCCGGTCCGCGTCAGTAGGCTCGTCAGGCAGGGCAACAGGGGGCGGAGGCGAAGGCAGGTCACCAGAGGCGCGGGCATAGTATCATTATCCTAGCGCTGGCTCTGGAGGTACCGCTCGGCGCGGATGAGCCAGGAGGGGAAGTCGAATGCTCTATCCTCCGGATCAAATTGCAGGACGCAAGTGGACGCCATAAAGAGAAAGCTACCATTCTATGAGCGCAAGGCTAGGAACGGCCGGAGCTAGAAATAAGCGAAGGATGTACGGAGTCAGAAGAATCAAACGAATCGGGTCTAGAAACTGCCGTAGCTAGTAACGAGCGAAGCCAGAGTGGCTAGGCTGGGAGTAGCCGAAATGAACAATGAGACGTGGCCTGAGGTCTAGTCTAGAAACCGCCGAAGAGGGCAATGAACGGGGCAAGAATGCCGAGCCTAGCGGCTGCTCCTTCGCGGCTGTGCGCGTGCGGTAGCAGGGGTGCGCATGGATGCAGTGCCTAATGCGGTCGCTGCTGCTGCGCCCGTAGCTGTGGCTGTGCACGCAGCTGCTGCTGTGCGCGCGGCTGTTACAGTGCGTGCAGTCGCGCGTGCGGCTGCTGGTGCGCGGGCAGCAGGGCGTGTGCAGCGGCATGCGCACGGTTGCGTGCGGGCAGTGTATGCGCGGCTGCAGGCTCGCGGCTGTGCATGCTGGCTGCGGTGCGCGTGCAGCTGCGTGCGTGCGATAGCGCATGCGCGGTTGTGCGCTGCTGGTTGTGCGCGGTACGAGGCGGGCTGCAGGGCGGGACGGGACGGGCTACGGGGCGGGACGTAACGGATTGCGGGGCGGGGCGTAACGGGACGGACTATGGGGCGCGAGACTAAGCTAGGAACTAGGTTAGGATCGTGCCTACTCGTGATACCATCTCATAATTTTAAATAGCGGAAGCTAAACCATAAACCCTAAACGCTTCTATACACCAGCACTGTTTAGATACAAAACGAGCAGCATATGCGGAAATGTTTTAGGTGACTTGCAACCTGACATGAACAACGCATCAGATTCCGCATCTGAGGTGTTGACCATGTGAGAAAATCAAATTTCTGACGCGTCAATAACAAATCTCGATTTAAAACATAAGACATACATGTCAAAGTTATGTTTGTACTATTAGTTAGCCCGTAGTGAGTTGCATGCTAGGGGGTACAGAAATCAGCTCGTCACTTTGTTTGTATCCCTCCCCCTTAACCTAACACACATTATTCCCCTCTAGGCACCAACCTACTTAGACTCTAAGATGGTACCAGTAGGGTTCTTCCTAGCCTAAACGCGCTTCGTAACGCGCCCCGTAACGCCCCGTTGCCCCATTGCGCCCTGTAGCTCGTCCCGACGCAACCACAGTCCATCCCGTCCCGTCCTGCAGGCCGCCCCGTATCGCGCGCAGCCAGCAGCGCCCGGGCGTGCGCCCGCTAGCGCATGCACAGCCGCGCGCTTCCTTGCAACCGCGCGAGCTCCTGCCATCGCACAGCTGCCCGCCCAGCAGCATTCATGCACGCAGTAGCAGCTGCACGCGCAGTCGCGCGCGCAGCAGCATCGCGCACCAGCAGCCGCAAACGCGAGCGCCACCGCACGCACACTAGCAGCAGCCGCCACCGCGAGCGCAGCAGCCACTGCCGCGCGCACTCCAGCCCCGCGCAGCAGCCACTGCGACCTGAGCGCTCCTCGCCGCTCCGTGCCCTAACCTCCCGCCCGCACGTGCAGCCACACGCAAGCCGCCGTGCACGGGTAGAAGCGCAGCAGCAGCACGGGCACGTGCAAAAACAACAGCTGCACGTACCTTCTCTACACGCCACCCCGTTCCCCACTGCTCCGAACCGCTCCCAACCGCACTCCACCATATTCAACCGCTCCCCCTGACCTCTTACCACCGTGATAGACCACCCTCCACCTCAGCCTTATGCACCTGGCCACACCTTTACCACTCCTCACCACACTAGTCCGCACCCTACCGTACTTGACCGCTATCCACCGTGCTAAACCGCACCCAACCGCATTTGACCGCACCCGGCTGTGCGAGACCGTACTCCACCCCACCCGTACCTGCTGTCGCCCTCGAGCCTCCTGCCATAGGTCTTCCTAGCAGCGGCTGGCAGCCGCGTTCGACTCTCCTCACGTAGGTTAGGGCTAGTGCCGTATTCCGCCTACCACCCTATCATAGTTCCTCTGCCATACCTAGTGTGACTTGTCTCGATCAGATCGCCCCTACCTAAAGTCACTCCTAGCGCCTAGGATGGCGTCCTCCCGAGTGTTACGTTTCGATGCCGAGGGTTGTCCGATCGAATTTCGTACGTGGCTTACCCAGGCCCAGCGCCACCTTAAGAGTCAGCGTCAGGATCGCGCCCACCTTACGCTCACGCGTCCGGCGCACTTCAAGCCCCTCAGTCCCCTAGTCCTTTGCCCACTGAGCCTTCCCCCACCATTGCTCAGCAGGCCGAGTACGATAGGCAGCTATTTCGGTTTGATATCTGGAAGTCTCGCGACGCCGCTGCCTGCAACGCCCTAACCGATCTTCTCCCGCCGACCGAGGCCATCCACTTCTCCGAATGCGACTCGTCGAAGGTCCTGTACAACGCTATTGTTGCTCGCTATAGCACTCCTACCTCTGCCTCACTCAATCGCCTCCTCATGCCCTTTGTGTTCCCTGACTGGGCTCGTTTGAGACTGTCTCCGATCTAGTCACCCACCTCTGCTCTCTTGACGCTAGCTTTCGTGCTGCCTGCACTGACGAACAGCTCAAACTTGCCCCACCGCCTATGTGGCTCACCCTCCACTGATTAGTCACTCGCCTCCATGAAGAGAGTAGAGCAGGAGTCCCAGGGTGCACGACACAGCAGTTACCCGACGGGTGGGTGAGTGACCGACAGTCGCACGACACAGCAGTTACCCGACCTGACCTGACCTGACCTGACCCTGTGTGGTGGGACCCAGTCTGTAGTGAGTACAGACCAGAGCCCGGCTCCCTGTGGAAAGTGGCCAGACGCGCCCCAGTGGCACCGACTGTGCAGGAGGCAACAGGCTCGTCCAGTGGGAAAGTAGTGACTACACCTAGGTCGTGGAGGTGACTGACACCCACCAGGTTCCTAGAGAACGAGGGGGTGTAGTAACCTGTGAGAAACCCAGAGGGAGCCACCGGCCACGGGAGTGGTGGTGCTGTGGGCAACTACAGGTCCCACAGAGGGTTCAGCCAAGGCGACAGTGACTAGAGTGCGCAGTAGTGTGAGGTCAGTACAGTCGCGAAAGAAACAGTTGGACGCTCCAGAGTCTAGGGTGAAGGAAATCAGTGCAGTCTGTGAGTTCGCACCCAAGCCAGCGACAAAGGCTGTTGCAGCAGTTCGCTGGCGAAGACGCGAGGGCCAGTGCGGTGTATTAGCGTGAGGACCAAAACGCTCACGGTGGAGGTCGTCAAGTCGACGGTAGCAGCTGGACGCAGAGTGGTCAGGACTCCAGCAGGTAATGCCAGCACCAGGGCCTGTCAGGGCCCGGTACCCGCAGGGGGCCGACGTCTCTCCCACTGCTAGCCGAGCCACTGCTGGGGGCGCCACACTTTGGACCCGCAGGTCCCCACTGCCGGGAGTGCTGCGGCTGGCCCTAGTGCTGTAGAACTCTAGTTCACGCCATGTGAGGAGCTAGAAACGGGGGGTGCGCTGGCGGTAGCCTAAGCTGCTGCTGGTGCGCTGGGGGCAGCCTATGCTGCTGCTGGTTCTGCTGGGGGCAGCCTAAGCTGCTGCTGGTGCGCCGGGGGCAGCCTATGCTGCTGCTGGTTTTTCTGGGGGCAGCCTATGCTGCTGCTGGTGCTACTGGGGGCGGCCTATGCTGCTGCTGGTTCTGCTGGGGGCAGCCTAAGCTGCTGCTGGTTTTGCTGGGGGCAGTCTAAGCTGCTGTTGGTGCTGCTGGTGGAAGTCTAGGCTGCTGCTAGTGCGCTGGCGGCAGTGGAAGCTGCTGCTGGTGCTACTGATGGCAGTGTAAGCTGCTGCTGGTGCTATTGGTGGCAGTATAAGCTGCTGCCGGTGCTACTGGCGGCAGTAAAAGCTGCTGCTGATGCTACTGGCAGTAGTGTAAGCTGCTGCTGGTGCTACTAGTGGCATTGTAAGCTGCTGCTGGTCCTACTGGCGGCCGTAAAGGCTGCTTCTGGTGCTACTAGCGGCAGTGGAAGTTGCTGCTGGTGCTACTGGCGGCAGTGGAAGCTGCTGCTGGTGCTACTGGCGGAAGTGGAAGCTGCTGCTGGTGCTACATGCGGCAGTGGAAGCTGCTGTTGGTGCTACTGGCGGCAGTGGAAGCTGCTGTTGGTGCTACTGGCGGCAGTGGAAGCTGCTGCTGGTGCTACTCGCGGCAGTGTAAGCTGCTGCTGGTGCTACTGGCGGCAGTGTTAGCTGCTGCTGGTGCTACTGGCGGCAGTGTAAGCTGCTGCTGGTGCTACTGGCGGCAGTGTAAGCTGCTGCTGGTGCTACTGGCGGCAGTGTAAGCTGGTGCTGGTGCTACTGGCGGCAGTGTAAACTACTGCTGGTGCTACTGGTGGCATTGTAAGCTGCTGCTGGTCCTACTGGCGGCAGTAAGAGCTGCTGCTGGTGCTACTGGCAGCAGTGGAAGCTGTTGCTGGTGCTACTGGCTGCATGGTAAGCTGCTGGGGAGGCGGGTTTCAGCGTGGGGTGGCGGTTTCAGGTGTGGGGCGGCGGGTTTGAGGTATGGGGCAGCGGTTTCAGGTGTGGGGTGGCTGGTTTCAGGTGTGTGGCGGCGGGTTTCAGGTGGGGCGGCAGTTTCAGGTCGTGGGGACGGTCGGTTTCAGGTGAGGCGGCGGTTTCAGGTCGTGGGGACGGTCAAGGGCTTGGCTAACGGCTGTGACGTGCACGCGACTACTGCTGCGCATGCGTACGGTCGCGGCGTACGTGCGCGCGGCTGTGCATGCGGCTAATTCTGCGCGTGCAACTACGCGCGTGCTTCTGCTGCGCGCTAGCGGGCTGGTGGGCAACGCGCGGGTCAAAAACGGGTGGGGCGCGGGGCAAAAGCGGGTGACGCGCGGGGGCGACGGGGGGCGCGATCTACGGGTGCTACGGGGGTGCAATCTACGGGCGATGGGGGCGCGATAAACGGGCGCTACGGGGCATGGGCAAGGTGGGTAGTTTTTTGGAGAAAGCACGTGGTGCTGCCCCTCTGGTCATGTGGGAGCACGCACGTGGTGCTGCCCCTCTGGTCATGTGCTCCTGTGAGAAGAGAGACGAATTCTGAGGCGCCTAAACATAAGAACATATAATCTCGTGAAGCGTACTGCCGCCCCGCATTAGCTTCAAGAGTAGCCCGCGGTGAGAGGGGGACGTTGGAACCAAACGGACAGGCTCGCACGCTGATTTTGAGACTAGGCATGAGAAAATAACCAAACCGAACCAGCAAATAACCACACGGAACTGGTGCACGCAGTCACGGACAGGTAGGGGTGTACACGGGGCGGATAGGGTAGGGGTGCACACGGGGCAGATAGGGGTGCGTGAGTGAGAGCTGTGGCAAGAGGAGTGGGGTGCAGTGAGGGATACGACAGGCATGAGCACGGGTTCAACCTGGTTTGGCCCACATCGAACCTAGTCCGGCAGCCCGGGCCCGGCTGTAAGTGAAATATTCCAACTCATGCTTGCCTGATCGTTTGATGTTCGGCACAACTTGGTGTTTTTTCACAAACCGAACCAAACAGGTACATGTTTGGGTCGCTCGCTGCCCGCGGGCAAAAAAAATAAAACCCATTCGGGCATGCATCCGGTCAGGGAGGCATCAACCCTAAACACAGGGAGGCATGTGTTTAGGGTTGATGCCTCCCTCAGATGGCATGCCATCCGATAGGGTTTTAGTTTTATTCTGCCCGCTGGTCAGGTCGACGGTGGTCGACGGTCGTTGGACGACCGTCGACCTCGTTTCGTTAAGCTATTCCAAGCAAAAGAAGAGCCCAGTTGGGTCTGCCCCCAACATGTTCGAGTCGAATCGAACAGGAGCCCGGGTCTTCGCTCATGCCTGCTATGTCTGCCCGGGTTGGGCAGGTTCGAGTTCGGCTGGAGCCTTATTCGTTATAGTAACAGATTTTGCATTTCACCATCGGATCCGCGCGGATCTCGCATTTCAAACTGTTAGGGCGACGTCAGGTTGCACATTTCTCGCACGTCTACAGTTCTTGTATCGTGGCTCAAGACGCTTCCACACGGTGGGAATTGCCTGTCAAGGTTTACCGTTTTGCATCGTGACAAAACAAAGTTGACCGCAGTAAGTGAACAGAAAGTTGTGCAACCTGACGTTGCCATTGGTTTCACTAACTATTGGGAATCAACCGTGGAAAAGTTGGGTATGTTGGTTGGTGGTGAAGAATGAGGCTGGGGAACAGGCCGACCAGAAAGAGGAGTGCACATAAAAGGACCCTTGAGGACCAAACAAGTTGGAGATAAAAAATGAGCTTGAGGATTATCATTGTGTGCCCATGAAGGACCCTCGAGAAAATTGGTGCTAGGGTCCTGGGAGCGGGCCTTGCAAGGTGACTTTTGAGTTGACTCAAAAGTCACTGGTGACCCTCTGCAACAACGCTTTGCTGATGCTGAACACGGAGCAACACTTCCTCCAAGCCGTGTCCTGCTCAAGTGACTTTTGAGTCGACTCAAAAGTCCCGGGAGCGGGCCTTGCAAGGTTCGTATCAGGCCGCGCAGTGAGGGATAGGGAGCAGTGAGGGGAAGGAGACATTACAAGGCTTGAAGTTTGATGGTTCACCAAACTTGGAGGCTGAAGAATTTGTTGTAAAATTTTGAAAGTTGATGGGCTATTAAACTAGAAGGTTCATCGATTACAGAACTAGAATGTTGATGGGTTTCAAAACTTTAAGGTTGATGATT